TCTTCTTTGGGTAGATCCTTGATGTGTCTCAGTTATCCTTCATGGTGGTGGAATCATTTTGTATATCAGTGTATACGTATGACAATGTAAAGTGATTGGGATGTCGCACTCGCATCTTTACACGATTTGATACACTATTTCCAAAGACCAATTAACAACTTGGTGTGTGGTTAAACGTAAAATATCCTTGGTTAAACGTACGATTTTCTGATGTTGATAGGTGGTCGATTTGGTTTGTGATTAAAGGTAAGTATCCATGGTTAAACGTACAATCTTCTGATGTTGGTAGGTGGCCACTTTATAACCTTGATCCTTCCCAAACTGCACGGTTTCTTTCAATATCCTGACGTTCACCACTTTACTGGTGCGATAGTTGAGATTCAGAGTATTTGAGACAAAATATATAGGATCTCCTCTAGCTAAACTTAGACTCTTGTCGTTGGAGTACTTGCCTGTCCAGGTTCCTATATGTGTCCTTCGATGACAGGGTATCGATAACCCAGGCGATCCATGTTAATGCAACTGTCATTGTCACAATACAGCACACGATCTCCTAACTAGTGTAAAGATCAATACAATTTTAGGCTAGCACGGGCTGTAAAATTGGTCGCAATGATGTCATTTCAAAATTCGTCAGCCTTAACAAAGTCAGTTTTTCTTCGTAATTGACCAGAATCAAGTCTTTAATAAGGACTTCCACGTGTTTTATGCATTAGGCTCTGTCAAGAATCATCTGGAAGTAGTGAGAAGAATCGGAAAAATCAGGCTTTCACAAACAAGGGCGGTGAGCCACTATCCCCTAAAAGAAATTTAAAATCACTTTAACAAACGATCGCCTTCCTCCGCTTTACTCGATGTAGTTTAAAGTGATGCCTTCCCGCTCTAAGTATGTCTCTTTGTACTTTCGGTTTTCCCAAGAGTGTCAACAAGAAAGACAGCCACTGCTTCTTGTTTTAGTTTCCGAGAGGCATCCACGTAGTCTGCGAAATTGCCTTTCTGATTCTTGAAACTCTTGTGGTACTGTTCTGTCTTGGAAAGATTGTAAACTTCTTAAACTTCTAACAGTTGATAAACAGCAATGAACTCTTCTCTTCCACGCTGATCCAATTTCCTGTCAATGCGCGTTCTGCCTAGGTGTGCAGACATGGTTGGTCTTGGTTGCACGTTTCAGAACAAGTACGACACAAGGAAAAATTTAGTTTTCCTTGGCAATGGTGAGGTAAAACGGGATGGTACAAGTACATGAGAGGCACAGCTGCAATTGTGCATGTTGGCACGAGGTAAACACATATTGTCTTGGAGATTATTAATTTGAACGAAGCTAATCTGGATGCTACGAAGGTTGTCTACCAATAAAACTTTTTCCGTTGTCAGGTCCCTTTGGGACGACAAACGTGGGGTATTTACAATGTCGCTTTTCCATCGGTGATGTAAATCTTTTTTATGGATTGCTGTACCTTGTACGTGTTCAGTCTTGTCGATGATCTTTACAAGGTTTCATTACCGATGGCCTGCCAAACTTGATGCAAATGTGGGACTGTCGTGATAAATGGAAAGTATCAAGCGACTGTGTTTTTTAGGCTTTCCATTGCTGTTTCAGTTCGGTTAACAAAGAATCCCACACATCGGTGATGAACTGATCCGATTTCTCCATTGGTAAGTTTGACTCTAAATGTTTAAAATTCACTAAGTGTAGGGCGTGGTTCTAATTTTTCGAGCAGAGGTTTTATCCATCTCTGGAATGTAATAGTAGTTTTCAGGTGTTAATTGTCGCGTGATTTAATTTAATGTAAAGATTTATTTTTGGCCTAGTATCTTTTGACTCACCTATTTCATCTTCGAAATATTCTGAATGGATTTGAGCCAAAACTTCAGCTAACGTGCTGTACGATAGGTCACCTTTCTGCCTATTACTTTTATTTCCGATCATAAATTATTTTTAACCCGGACTATCCCATGTATGTCAAATCATCATTGGCAATTACCCAGATGAGATATGCAGCCCTCTGGAAATGAAGAATCTCTGTGGATATTCCATGCTCTCTGACGAGAACCTTAATCTATTGCCAAGAGGTCAAAAGAATTTTGAGAAACAGAAGAAAGTCCATGCCATGCCCCCTATCCCGGTATTTGTAACCGTAATTTAGAAGACCGCTATTAGCGAAACTTAAAATCTTGTCCTTGTCTGCTCGTCCATCCAGGATCTTAAAGGTCTCCTTCGATGTCATATTTACGACGGCCCATGCGATGAATGTAAATGCAAGAGAATATGATATCCAAACAGTTCTAAAGCTTCGTACAATTTTAAGCCAGAAAGGGCAGTCACGTTGTCCGCAATGATGATATTTCCAAAACCGTATGCCTCAACAAAATCCAGTTCCTCTTAATAATTGACAAGGAACAAGTCTTCATGAAGGACCTCCGCGTGTTTCATTGTTTTCGTTCTGTCCTGAATCATGTGGAAGTTGCTGAAAGGATCCGAAAAAATATTCCGTCTTGGGTAACCACGGTCATTGTGCCATTTTGACCTGCAAGCAATATTATATCATTTTGGCACATACAAGCCTTAGTTTTTCTCACCGTGATGACTTCTGGTTGCGAGGATTTCTCTTTTAATTTCGTTTTTTCTTCGGGAGTGTGGTATCAGGAATGATAGCTACTGGCTTCTTGTTTCAATTTCAATACGGCATCCACGTAGTCTGCGAACATATTTTTCTGCGTTTCATCGCAATTTTTGGAACTGTTCTGTCTTGGGAAAGTGGTAAATTTCGTACATATCGAACAGTTGGTATCCCAGGGTCAGTTCTTTAAATAATTCCACGCTGTCAATGCGCGCACTACCTAGGTGTGCTGGCAAGGTTGGTCTTGGCTGCACGTTTCGTCACAAGTAATCCAGAAGGGAAACATCAGTTTTCTTTGGCAAAGGTAAAGTAAAACGGGATGGTACATGTCGTTAGAAGACAAGACTTTGCACCTGATCAATCCTTCTTATTGACTAATATTGTCTGGATCGATCTCTTCCGTTGACAATCATGGGTGCACTGCGGAGAGTGGCAATAATTGCATAAATAAGGATTAAACAAACACACGTCCAAATATTTGATTTCTTCTCCTTTATCCTCGTCGGCGTTGTAAAACAAACATGTGGCATTCGTCCGTATTTCATACAAACGATCCCGTTGATTCAGTAGGTCCATCAGCTTGTAACTTTCCACGCTAAGGTTAAACTCAGGATCCGTTTTTAGACGGTGATCGTACTTGTTTTTCCACACTGTACAGTGAGTTTGGTTCATCATATGAAGCACGTGCGATGTGATTGTGATGGGAAGAGCGGAAAATTTTAATTCACAAATGATGTAGGGTTGCATCGCCTGCGTACAAATGCTTTATCGCAAGACTAAAAATTTTATATTACGTATCGTCTTGTCAGTGAGCAGTATTTTTAAGGACTTGCACGTCTTCATCTGTGGAAGTAGGTGACTTATTTATGAAATTCTTATGTATATTATAAATTATAACTATTGTACTACCACGTTTTGTGTTGCAAATTTTCTACGCAGCTTTGGCTTACATAGCATGATACAAATATTTTCTATTTTACTTGTGACTAATCAATAGATTTATATTAGCAATATAAAGTTGCATTTTTAAGAAATGTTTGGTACTGTAGGATTCTTATCTGACACGTGTAGGTTTACTTGCTAACCTGTCTATTTTTTTTAATGTTGTGCCGATAATGTAATTTGTATAGTTTACCATATATAACGTAATTACGTGTTATCGTAATTGACCGTATCATGTATTATACACGGTGTAAGATGTATTATTAGTTGAATGGAGTCGACGAGGTTCCAGTTGATGACCATGACAGCTGTAAAGCCTAACCAAAGCAACCATAGAGCTGACGAAAGTGTTGCTGGTCGAGTAGAAGATGATCGAACATGTTTTATCAAATTTGTGTGAGCTGATTGCTTGACTGACCAAGGAATATCATGTTGGTCGGTGGCTACATGGAATACTGACTACTTGATTGACTACTCTTACATGTAGCCGAGTGTGCTAGTGACGGAGTGTGTTTGTGTTACTCCATGCATGGAATCTTTGCGCCGTGGGCTAATTTTGTGGTTTTCTATACCCAGTGTTTTATAACATATGTCCCCTTTATTTTCATCATTTTAATATTTGAGCAAAGTATTTGATTTTTCAGTTTTTGTCTGAATACATTTTATTATATGAGTAAAATACATCCTTTTTACACTTTGAGTAAAACACATCATTATATTCATCGTTTGAATTAACAGTAAATAATTGACCTTTATCTTTCACCTATGGAAAATCATTTATGTGTATTCACATTCAAGTTGTGTTATTAGGATTGTGCGGATTGTGTTAATTTTGTCCAATATTTGTATCTTGTGGGCTGTTATGAAGAGTTTAGGAATGGGTATTCCTATGTATATTCCTGCCGCGCTGGTGGCTGACGAGCTCAATACGTGACAGGCACTTCTTTCCGCAGGGAATGTCTTGGTTTTGGTTAGTGTTACTGATGATTTCTTGTACTTTCTTCGCCATTTGATTCCTCCAAGCTGGCCTGTCTGTTTTGTTCATTTATGGCAGTGGCCCGATCAACTGCACGTCGACAGCTTTCATAGTCAGAAGATTCTAATCCCCATTGGTAGCAGTCGATGTCATAGGTGGTGAAGATCTTTTTTCAAGGAGTCTTTATATCTCATTTAAAGTGTCCCACAATCACGGTTGCCTTTGGACAGCTCACCATACAGTTCGATCTTTGGTTGGCGATGAACCTTCATACTCAGCGTAGTTGTATCTTCGTAGCGTGGCAGTTCATAGTCATGTCTAGCACATGGGAAACATGTAGCTGACAAGTAGCATTTATGATGACACTAGGCCGACGAGTCGTAACACTAGCTTCTTAATGCTGAGCTCCAAAAGAGGCAGCTGTTAGTACCATGCCCCATGTTTGTGAGCCTTTCGCATGACTCGGCCGGGCCGGGATGGGACCCACGACCTCCCGCATCCGAGGCGGACGCTCTAACCACTGAACTATTGGAACTACCAGAGTGATATATATATATATATATATATATATATATATATATATATATATATATATATATATATATATATATATATATATATATATATATATATATATATGAGTATGTGTGTGTAAATAGTATATCTATATATGTCGGTAATTAATATTTTATGTGGGTAAATAGTTTACATAAATCTTAAACCTGAACAGATTTTTTTAAACGTAATATCTCGGTTTATAGGATCTTCGTAATGTTAAGGAGGTCTGCAACAATACTTTATTAATAAATGGAAATTGAAAACGTTTATTTTTATACCGAATTGCAATTTCGGTATATAACAAAAGTTCTACTCCTCTTTCATTTTGTGATCAATACAGTACCTCTAGAATGGCTAGGATCAAAAGGCAAGTTTGCCGCAGGCTACCCGGAAGGAAAACTGTCCTCAAAACAGAAATGGCTAGGGTCATAGGGCATTTTTACCTCAGGCTAACTGATAGGAAATCTATCAATAACACATAAAGTTAGTCTGACATCTTGCATTAACTTCACTAAAGAGTTAGTTAAGAAATTCTATACTTTTTGTTGAAAATAGTTTTGACAAAATGAAATTTCTTTGAACAGTTATTATATAAATACTTTAAATACATACATAAGAAAAATACTAGAGATGTATTAATATATCTCGCTTCTAAAATTACCTCAGGATTCCTTCCTTACTTCCTCTAATGCATTAGCTCTTTGTATAAAATAAAACAATTTCTTTCGAGTATTATTAATTACGATTATTTAAGATAACGAATAAATTATTCTGACTGTATACCCCATTTGTGTCCGGCTTAAAGTCGTAGGATTTTGCGCTCATAAGTGAGCAAAATGCTAAGAATGATTAATAGTATTATTTTTCATCATCTGCCGATATTATTGACCCATCTAGTGATGAATGCGTGTATTCTGAAATAAATGATTTTCACAAACTTGATTCCCATACATATAAAAAGCACACTAACCTTCCAAGTGGATTCTTGTAACTAAGCCAGTATTAATCTTTCTCAGGTATCAGGATTTTGTTTATAAGACGAAATGCTTTTATAAATGAGTTTATACTCCCTCCCTCCATTTGCCTTTTGTGCAAAAAAGAAAAAGAAATAAATATGGTCAACCTGTTCTTCACCTACGGAATTACATAATGTATCCAAAAGGAGTAAAGCCATTGTTTCAAGTATGGTATGTGGTATAGATACCCAAATGAGTGACAATGAGAAACGTGGTTATTTATAACTACTAATATACGTGTTTTGGATCAGGATAATGATATAGTCATGCACACATTTCTATAATTTCTATATTCTTTACAAAATATTCCAATATGTTTTTATGCATAACTATATTTATTTATTGGCCTTGCCAATTACAAAATGAAGTCAGTTTGAAAAATTTAATGACATTGGTAACAGAATGATAGGATATATCGTTAATTCCTGGTGCAGTTAAATTTTCTACATAAACATTTATATTCGTGGTATTTAATTGTATTATAGCTTTACAAATTTATCCATGTATTTGTAGATATATTTTCAATATGTTATTCCATGCATTTATATGTTGTATTGCTAATGGGAATTTATCATCGAGGGTTGTTTCACAAGATAATGTCAAAAGTATTGGTTTTTGACTTATCTCTACCGCCGTTATCAATATTTTGTCAATTTTGGATATATAATAACTTGATATGTATCCCATCATGATATAACTGTAATCCATCTGTGAGTATAACATCCACAAATGGTTCATGATAATGAAAAGTTCAATATCTTAACTAAGGAATCTTAAGAGAGTAATTCCTTTCGAAGTATTGAAGACAGGAATTCACTATGAGAAAGCAGAGTTATTGTTTAATGTTGACTCCAAACAAGTTGATCATTGCAATGCTGGACATGTAGAACCCATGGCCGCAAGCCACGGACACAAATCCAAGTCACTGTCTATTCTTGGTTGACAGTGGTTTAATTTACTCGTTATCAAGAATCATGAATATAAATAAGAAAAATACTTGATCAACAAGCCAATCGTATTATGTTGGATACATCAACGGAACTGTTCTTTTTTCAGAAAATATTTGACTACGTTTAGAAATATAAAAATCTTACCTGTTCATCCACCATATTCAAAGAGGTTCTTCTATGCTAAGAGCTTTTTTTTTGCGTGAAAAGTAAATAAAGGTGAAAAGATAGGGGCTTTTTGTAAGCTAGCAAGGAGATCAGTATTGCATTCAACTTGATACTTTAAGCATTTTTAAAAGTAGAAATATTTCTAAACAATTACCTACTTATGATTTGAACAGGGAGACAAACATTATACATGCGCAGCATAGGATATGCATATCGCACGCATTCGCATATATATATATATATATATATATATATATATATATATATATATATATATATATATATATATATATATATATATATATATATATATATAATATATATATATATATATATATATATATATATATATATATATATATATATATATATACCATAGCATATGCAAAGCGGAAGTATTCTCATCGTTAAAAAGTCAGTGAACGAAAACTAATTCATATGATAGGATAAACCTTTCTGATTACTTTACTGATATATTCATAGCGATTAATATTTCGTATCTTTTTTTTTCTTTAGAGTAAACATGAACAAACAACATAATAATTTTGAAACAATATAAAAATAGAGTGTTTAGAGTTGCTTAAATTAGGTTTTGTGTGGCTTATTCGGAAACAGGTTGTGACACTCACGCCCAAATCGAGGCATTGCGAGAGCAGTAACATCAGGGTGAACGGAAAAGAGCAAATACTGGTATAATATAAATTTAATTAACGGGTAATGAAATGTCTGAAATTCAGCTTTAATGCTTACTTATAAATATTTACATATGTTTTCATTCATGTGACACGTCGGATGAATCTATTTGTTTGACATACATGCACGTGCATTATTCTCTAAAACTATGTTTGAAGTAAAATGTAATAAGAGTTGTGATCAACCTCGGAATTATATGCTTTAAGCGTCAATAAAGCCGATATTAATACTTCGGATTATATGATATAAACATATCCGTTAAATATTACAAATGAAAACAGAGCTCTGAATCAATAGACTTGTTTCTAATAGCCCGTCACTTAATATCCTTAATTAAACCTTTTGTTGAATCACTAGTGGACTAGTGGTTAGAGCATCCGCCTCGGATACGGGAGGTCGTGGGTTCGATCCCCGGTCGAGTTATACCAAGGACTTACAAAAATGGTACTAACAGCTGCCTCGCTTGACGCTCAACATTCAGATGTTAGTGTTAGGACTGGTCGGCCTGGTGTCAGGTTAATGTGACTGGGTGGGACATCATGCTACATGTCTGCGGCATGATGTCCCAGTGCTAGACATCACTATAAACTGCTACACTTCAGACATCGTAGTGATATGACTGAGAAATTGTTAAAGCTACGTTAAAATCATAAACACACACACACACACACACACACACACAGATTTGTGTTAATCATGTTTGGGAATCATTAATTGAGATAGTAGTTAGTTTGATAAAAATTCATCAAAATTGAATTACCACAGAAGTGGGATGTTTGTGTGACTCGATCACTAGTGATCCTTCAAAATGCGGTGGTATTGTAATAAATTTGGAGTAAGTGCATTTGGTTATATATCACAGCTTTATGGAATACATAGATTTGTGTGATTTACGTGTTTCATGATTGGATCTTGGTGCAATGTGAATGTTCATTAACTTGAAATAATTATCAAATTTATACAAGCAAACGTCACAGAGTGACGTGTTAATGAATTTCCATGATGCCAAGGTCCACTTTTGTAGAGAAATCAGGTCAAAACCATAGGAGACGTCCATGGAATATCATAGTCCCCTATTTAAACCTAATGGTGTACACTGGATGTGTAAATGCAGTGGCAGTATTTACGTTAGAAATTTGGCAAATTACACAAGGTAATAAACAAGAAGGTACTGGGCAGATACCGTTTATGTCGCCATTGTGGCAAATGTTATGTAATTGTGCTGGTGTAATGTACTGGTGTACTTGTGTAATGTGTCTTGAAACCATGAATTGACTGGCCTATGGTGGCTTAGTTAAAATAGTTCTCCATGTTAGAGGATAGTTCTATACTTTTTACGGAGTGAACTGCTGACAGTATGAACCCTGAGTAAGTGAAACCATGCAGATTTGCGGTTGATATAAATATTTGGCAAGTTGAGAGATCTGTAGTGTTGCATTGATCAGAGTAAAATTTATGTGTAAAATGTAAATGTCGGGCTTTCTAATTTTTAACTGAAGTTGTATAGAAGTCTTTGGAAATTTGGGGTAAACTTATTATTTTCAACAGCATGATACTGTATGATCCACACGAATTAACCATATCTTGGTTCCTAATGAATTTTATATTGTCGATGAGTACTTGTGCAAAGTCAAATGTGCGATGACGCATGCATAATGAAATAGTAATGAGGACAGTATTAATCTGAGTGAGTAAAGCACATTTTTCAAAGTTTTAGTACATAATGTACACAGCTAAAATGTGACGATTCAATAATCAATGCGCGGACAAATATTTACTGAATCAGATAATGTTTGTGGGATTTTGATTTTGAAATAATTATACTGTTAACTAGACCAGATACATTCGTTTTTGATATAGTGCATACTTTTCTAAAATATTTTTCATCGTGATTTAGTTTTGTTTTATGTATACAGTCGTTGAAATTCAAGAGATACAACGATAGAAATGTCCAATATTTACGATAAAGATGAAGATGCCAACGTGATTGATTATACCAATATAACTGTAAGGTGTGCTTATATCAAGAAAATAGTATATTGGAGGAGGTATCTTCTTGACGAGAAGGATGATGTGTTAGGTCAAAGAATTACAGAATGTCTTAGTCTTTAGACCGACCTATTAGAAATATAGACGATCCTATAAATGAAA